CACGCCGGCACACCGGACACATTAGCTCTTTGCTATGAAGCAAGGCACTCCAGGCGGGGTGAGGTGTGGCGGACCGACGCAGTGTCTCGTTCCCCTTCTCGGGGAACAAGGGTTACCCGAGACGTTCCCCTTCGAGGGAACTCGAACTGCATCGGTGATGACACTATGGGAACAAGAATACCCACTATGCCACGCCGAAGCCTCCGCCTGCCCCCCCTGCGTGCAGTAACCCATAGGCACAACTAAGAGGAGAGCGCACGGGTGCCGGGTGCAGAAGGAAGGTCCAGACTGTAAAACCGGATGAAAGTGTGAGGAGTGGCCCAGCCAGCTGCCTCACACAAATCATAGGTGAAGGTAACCCGCGCACCTGATAGGCCAGGGAAATAGTCTTAACGATCCAGTTGCTGATCGTGTGCGAAGCGGGGGGCCCAGCCTTGGGGGACCCGAAACACACCAGCAACTGGTCTGCCTTCCTCCACCGGGAGGACCTCAAAGTGTAAATACTCTGACCGGGCAGAGCAGATGAAGTCTCCCGTCCTCCGCCATCACATGAGGTGGGTGATGAAACGGCTGCAGCACCGTAGACCCTGCCAACCTGGATGGAACCTTAGGGACATAGCCCGGACATGGGTGCAGAATGTCTCTGACCCTCCCCGGGGCCAACTCCAGGCATTGAGGAGAAACCGAAAGTGCCTGGAGATCCCCCACCCTCCTCAGAGAGGTGATAGCGAGGAGAAAGGTCATCTTAAGGGTCAGGTGCTTGGCCTCAGCCGACTCCAAGGGTTCGAAGGGGGCCTCAGCCAGCGCTTCGAGAACCACTGCCAGGTCCCAAGTGGGAACCCTGAAACAAGTCACGGGTCTCATCCTCCGGGCTCCACGGAGGAAGCGCACGATCAGTGGAAGCCTCCCCAGAGGCCCATCCCTCAGAGGGGCGTGGAACGCTGCCATGGCAGCCACATACACCTTGAGTGTGGATGGGGAAAGGCCAGCAGATTAACGGTCCTGGAGGAACTCCAGCACCATAGTCACTGGGCAGGTAACTGGGTCCACTGCCCGTTCTCTACACCAGGTGGCAAACACATTCCACTTCAGGCTGTACGTCCTTCTCGTGGAGCTGAGCAGCGTCTTGACTGTTCCCGCCGTCAGGCCCGCCTCAAGGAACTGGGCCCCCTCAGGGGCCAGACCCACAGTCTCCACAGGGTGCAACGCAAACAGGTCCACGTCTATAGGGCCGAACCTTTCGCACAATAACTCCACCACCTCAGGGTGGAGTCTCCATTCCCCGGGCCTCAGCCCCTGTCTCGACAGCAGGTCTGCTCACTGATTCTGGGTCCCCGGGATATACGTCGCTCTGAGAGACAGCAGTCTCTGCTGGGACCACAGGAGGATCTGATGTGCCAGCTTGCATAATGGGTGCAAATTCAGACACCCCGGTGATTCAAATAGGCCACCACTGCCGTGTTGTCGGTACTGACAAGGACGTGGCGACCGGAGAGCGGGCAGAAAACTCCTCAGAGCTCTAAAAACCGCCAACATTTCCAGGCAATTTATGTGCCAAGAGAAATGATGCTCCTGCCAGGAGCCTCTCGCAAAGCGGCCATCCATGACTGCGCCCCGTGAGTGAGGCATCTGTCGAAATAATTGTCCGGCGACATGACGCTCCCAACACGGGACCCTGGGACAGGAACCAAGGTTTCCTCCATGCTGACAGGGAATGAAGTCACCTGCTCGTAACCCGTATCAGATGGAACAGATTTCCCGTCGGGGAGAATCCCTTGGATTTTAACCACCACTGCAGGGCTCTCATGTGCAGCAGGCCAGATGGGATTACAGCCTAGCTTCACTCTGGTCACTGAGCACAAAAACGATCGAGCTGGAGCTTGCCCACTGCCCGTGTCACCACCTCCAAGAGCTCGTCATAGCTGGGCGCTGAATGATGACGTTGATCCGGCTCCCGGAAGTCTTCCTCCTCCATAATGCTGAGCACATCCAGCTCCTCAGAACCGGACAGCCGCAGCCTCTCCGGGCTCACACCTCGAGCAGGAGAAGCCGAAAAGCGGCCGCCGCGCCGCCTCAGCGACCGCCGGGCCCGAGCCACGGGGAGAGCGCATCCGGCCGTCTTCGGAAAAGAGAGCCGCACGGGACCTCAGCACCCTCAGGGTGCCAGAGGGTCACCCTCTGAGGATGCCGCATGCCCAGACAGGAAACGCACAGAGCATGAGTGTCCCCAGCCGTGATGTAGTGCGGGCATGGAAAAACACACTGCCTGAACTGCTGACCAGCCATCTCCTCTGCTTCTCCTTCCAGGTATCTAGAAAACTTCCTCTCGTGGTTGCTTTTCTTCTGAGTAGTCTCAAACATGCTAGAGTGCCTGCTGAATAGAAAAAAGCTAATGTGTCCGGTGTGCCAGCGTGCTTATATACGCCTCCAGTTACGCCGTCACATGCTACTGTTCTAGCAATGCCAATACGATTGGAGTAGTTTCATTCATGATTTCAGCCCTGTC